GTGGGTTATGTGTTTTCTCTTAAGACATGGGTTTTGCATCTTCTATGTGTCTTTCTAGATTCAGGCAATAATATTCTTTTAGTTTTCTTTGTCACAAGTTTTAAGTATTTTGTTTTATTTTCTTTGTTACAAGTTTAAAATATGAATTTCTCCCTTCTTGGTGGTGTTTTCAATGCTAGATCTGATCAATTTTAAAACATCTGCTTTAAAGCTACAGGTGATACACATGATGGATTGGAGAGAACACGAATCTCACAAAATGCTTGGTTTTTGACACTTATAATCCATATGAAATTTTGATTTGTACAAACTTGTGTTTCCAGTTTTGTAAATAAAAGTCTCAAACTTTGACTTTGTAGGAAAATGAGAAACAATTGGAGTATTAGACATTGGTTTTTGAATGGTTTTTCCAAACATAACATTTGAGTGGTTCAGAATGAAGCTTTAGTTGGTTGGAGGTGATTTTGTTGGAGGGTTTTCCTCACAAAAGCAAAAGTAAGCTCATGTATTCTTGCAATGTCTTGATAAAAGATTGAAACCACAATGCTATAATTTAGTGTATTTATCAAAACCTAATGTCTTGATACGAGAACAAGTTTGAAACTTTAATGTTTGGTTGAATATTATGAAGTGCAAGATCGTAATGAGTGAAATATTGAAAATTAGGTAGATCTTATCATATTTAATCATTTGTTTTATGTCATGCCTCCAATTACTAACTATATTTTGTTTCTCTATGTGCAGAAAATGCAAAGGTTGTTTCCATTAATATTCAAGTCGGGAAGTTGTTTATACAAAGAAACTACTAGAAGACGCCACTCATTGACCAAATGCTACAAGAGTCGTGTTGTGAAGTTATTTATGGGCTAAGAGGCAACCTGCAGTTTTGCGTTTTGCATACTATAGAAGATTAAGCAGGTAATTTTGAAATAATTGATTTTATTCTTTTTTATGCTACATGAGTTTTAATGATGCTATTGATGGATTTAATGATGACAGGTGGTCATTAATGAAATGTGATGGCACTGAATATGAGGATGTAATGATATAACCCCATGTATGTGTGTGGCTGTTACTATGATTTATCATTTATCAAGTTTTCAACAATTTCAATAATGTCATCTTTATTTTTTTCAACTTAACATCAAATGCTTCCAAGGGTTGTTACAGGGATGATTTGTATACTTTTTATTCTTGATGTCAATAACTATTAGGGAGGAGGGAATCGTAGCGGGTTGGAGTGAACGGGTATGACCAGACAGGAAGATAGGGGTGGGCGGGAGGAGAGCAAGAGAGAAAATAGGGTGTTGAGCGGTTTCTTAAAACCGCTGGAGGGTTGAATCGCAGAAGAAAAATAGAGAAGATGGGTTGGGAGGGCTGCGGTTTAGGCGGGTTTGGCTCCCTCCACAAAGGGTTTGGCGAGTAGCGGGATGGACGCGGACGATTCTGTCCCCCTTACGTGGATTCCATTGTTAAGACATATCAAGATGGTTGCATGGCACTAGGCCTTTACATCTTAAAAACATTTTGAATAAACTTCAATAATTTACAATTTTGAAATAATTTACATCTTCAAAAAATTTGTGGATTATTATGCGCTTTTGGAGGATGAATATTAATTAATCCAAACATCAACATGTATGATCTTAACATCTTTTGTATAAACATTGGGCACACCAAATTGATTCAACTTTTTTTTTCTGTAAATTCAATAATCTGTTGTTCATACAACTTTTGTTATCATGGAAGACTTCACTTGGTGTGAATACTTAGGGGTGATGATAAATTAACTGCTAAAAAAAACTATTTAGTGATGGTCTCCATGATGCATTCTGGAAAGGTAGTTTGTGCAACTCCCTTTCTCAGTCTCTTCTTTGTTCTTATGCTACTGGTGCTCATAAGATATTTTTAAATTTGGTTGTGTAAAACTATATATAGTTGAATGAAATACATTATGGAAAGTTTCTAGAATATTTAAGTTTATAAAAAACAATTGTTTGCAATCTATTATTAATTACGATATGAGTTATACATTATATGAATTAAATGTTCTAATTGTGTTGAAATATAAAATTTGGACATGTTATACAAAGTCTGTAAATAATTATTATCGAGATGATTAAATCTTTTATAGAATTACAAAAACAATTAATCTAGGTATTTAGAGTTAAGTTTGGTCGTACATTAATTAAATTATCTAATCAAATACTTGAAATGAACATATGTTTTTCTTTTGTTATTTAAATTATTATTAAATGTATAATGCTTATACATCTTTCTTTGCTGTTAATTGTTTAGGCACGTTGATGCACCAAGTGAAAATGGTGTGGTACTGTGTTTTTTCATTTTATACAAGACGTAGATGCGATATTCATAACAATGCATATTAATTTTCATTACCAAATTATAAAAGTTTAAACAAAACTTATATCTTATTAATTTAATAAAATTTATAAATCTTTGATTTTTCATTAAAATTTTGAATCATCAATATAATTTTTCTTTTTTACCCGTGGTTTCCACGGGTTGTAACCTAGTATTCATATATGTCCCCTTTATCGTTATTAAATACTATTCTCCAAATGACGTCCACATATCTTCAGTTTCTATGTATAAACTTTTCAAGCTCTCAAAGGGAATATTTGGCATACAAATATAGCATGTAACTTTTTCCACCGAACCATAAAGTAGAATATGCATACATTCATTGATTAATCATTAATTATATATAATAGTAACTAATTAATTGTAAATACTAAAATAAAATGCTACTGACCTAAATGTTTGTCGGCCACCGCATCTCCACTAGATCAACCAAATACCTTCTCAAAATTCCTGCCCATTCATACCCTCAAAAATGTTGGTTTTAAATAATACTAGTAAAAAATTTATAAAGATTTCAGATGTTGAAACTTGAAACTTGAAAATCTTGAATTGTTGTTTACCTCTGCGATTACATCTATAATGAGGAGTTCAACAATTTTGATTTCGTCAGCAGTACCCAATAGTTTTAGATATAAGTGGTGATGAATCTTGGATGCAGTATAAGATAGAATCCCAATTGTGGCTCTTGAGACACTTTGAATGTTGATTATCCTTGCATCACCTTTCCCAAGAATCCTGTTAAACTAAGAATTAAAAGAAAGGAGAATTAGAATGAGTTGTATAAGATTGGTTTATGTATAAAAGTAAAATGAAGGATGATTACTTACTTCTTTTTCACAAAACCTAAATTGTATCTTCTTCACTACTTCTGGAGTATCGACTGCAATTTCTGCAAAGTTTCTTGGTGGACCTAATGATAACAATCAACAGAGACAATGATTTAGTCGTAAAATTTCATTAATGCATTAATCAAACCACAGAGGAAACTCAAACACTGTCTATAATAAGCTTTCATAACAATAATGGCTCCAATCGAGTAGGCATCAACCCCAACCCTAATCACCTAAATCGAACCATAGCACAAACCAAGTTCTCCTATCAACGATCAAAAACAAAATCATTTAACATATGATTTAAAGAAAAGTTTAACAAAACGAACTTGCAATTTTCGAAGTCAGATTCATGATACAACGAACATGAATCACCTCTTGAGAATAGAAGATATATAAAAACTCGGATGAAAATAAATTTGAGAGAAATCAATCATCTATACAAAGATATAGAGAAATAGAGCGGGGGCAAAACCTCATTGGTTGACTATGACAATGTTGATGTTGACTGAAAAGCTGGTGAGGCGGTGGAAGCAAACAATGATGAGTGAAGAAAAACGACGTATGCGTGTGAGGGCAGATAACCGAAAGTGTGATGTGGGCATTTGCTTTATATATGGCTGAAATGGATTGTTGAACTCACATAGTGTACCAATGGTTGATTCCGGTCCAGTGGAGGCATCAAGAAGAATGAAGATCGAGACGCTGTTGGAAGCCACCGATCAGATATTGAGAAGCTATGGCGGTGGGAACAATCTAGAAAGAAAGAGATAGAAGACTAACCAGAAGCGGAGGTAAAGTAAGGTAAAGTAAGTGAACGGTAGCGGAAGGCTCGGGAAGTAATAGCCCTAACCCCCTGTCGAATTGCAAACACGTGTTGACAAAGAATATACAATACATCAAAAAATGAAATCAAGCCGAAATTGCACCCACACTCATAAACAAGGGACACATAGACATAAAGATCGTTAAAATTAGATATCGTATGAACAAGTTACAATGTTCGGAATACAAAACCTAAGCAAAACTACAAGTTCAATGCAACCAAACAGTCCAGGTCGCGATGAACATAAACATCAACAGCCCCAAACACCTCATCAATCAGGGATGGACGTAGGATTTGGTAGTAGGTGTTGTCTGTAGTAGGTGTTGCCGGTAAGTAGAAAAAAGAAAAAACATTTGAAAAATATCGAAAAATTTACACTGCGTAAAGAAAAGCATGGTTGTCGGTGCCACTGCGGGCACCCAAAGAGAACCGTCCCTATCATCAATGATAGTCCCATGTTAGATGTCATGAGAAAAACCTTAAATAAATCATTCATAAATACTGAATTGGTACAAAAATAAAAAATGACTTATTTTGAAACAAAAAAAAAATAATAACTAAATGTGTACAAAAATATTAAAAACTAAATGTCTACAAAATGAGAGATATATTACACTAATAAGTTATTTTTCCGGCTAACCTGAAATAACCGATCATAAGGATTGGATGTATACAGTTTAACAAGTTGAAGGAGTAAACGTGGAAGGAAAAAAAAACTCAGTTACAAAATGTGTAGAAATTGAAAAATATATTACCCCTTTTAACTTTTAAGTCATTATCTCTTTATTATATGTAAATAATTGTAGTTTAGAAAAACAAAAACGGGTAATTTGAAACTTTTATGTAAATGAAAGGCATGTAAACAAAAGTTTGAAAAAGTAGAAGTACGTATGCATATGATCTAGAAAATAACGTGCCTTTATTGCCTTTACAGTCCCAGAAGTTGCTGACAGAGATCCAAAAAAGTTATTAAATTATTTGTAAAATAAAATAGTGCGAAGCTTCCTTTCCCACGGCGTTGACGACCTTGTCGTCTTCGTCCTCAGTGAACTCCTGGACAATATTCTATAAATACCCTCTCAGTACTTTGAATCTTCACACGTCTTCTTTAAATCCTCTTATTTTCCAATTCACTAAATCCAATACAGATACACTCGGCACACTCAAATCAGCATCTACTTCACAGAAATGGCAAAGGTACACATTTGTTTACTAATCCACTTCAATTCTGTTTTGTTTTTTTCGAATAAGTTAAACTCAATTTGTGTAATCGAATGGTTTTGCAGCAAAAGATTGTGCTGAAGGTGACAATGAACAACGAAAAGAAAATCCGTAAGGCTCTGAAAATCGCAGTTAGTCTCTCCGGTAAGATCATGTTTCGAGATTTTCCTCTTCCCAATTTTCACTTAATTCTCGTTTTCCAGAAAAATCGCTTAATTACAATTTCATAACGTAAATGTTAACCTCAATTTGAATTGTGGGTTTTATACCTGATCACTGTTAACCTCAATTGGAATTGATTGAATTACTCGACTAAATCATGATCTGAAAATTGATGAACAGGTGTCGAATCAGCATCTTTCGTTGGATCAGATAAAACCCAAATCGCTGTGACTGGGGAACATGTCGACTCAGTTGAACTGGCGACCTTGCTAAGGAAAGGTGTTGGATACACAGAGCTACTGAGTGTTGGTCCGGTGGAGGAGAAGAAACCAGCCGCCGCAAAGGAAACAAATCCCACAGTGGCGCCACTACATTTTACAGTTAATCCATACCAATATTACTACAGCAGCTATGGGATGCCCTACTATGCATATTAGATTTAGATCTTATTTAGTGAAAAAGAGTGAAAGAAATTAGTTTTATATTGATGCATAACTAGCTTCATTTAACCTTTTTTTTAGGAGTTTTGCATTCCATGAAATAAGAGACCCTTGATGTATATATTGTCTTTGTGATATATGGGAGAATTTTGCGATACTTAATATACATTACTTTATTAAGCATCTTATTAAAAAAAAAATAATAAAGATAGTCTTGTAGATTATTTCCATGTCGTCTTTGAATACTACTTGACATGAGATTTTGTATTATCTATAAAAAACATTCATGTTGCCCATTTTGAAACACGAAATTGCATATGGTACATGGCCATCTACGGTTTCCTGTTAAGTCCTCCGCGATTTCCACTTTTTTGACATGCGGATTTTAATTTATTATGTTTACAATAAAAGTTTGTAAGTTTGAATACGATTTTTGTTCATTCTGAATAAGATGTTTGACATCTTTGGCTATGATTTTATATTTTTACTACTTTGTATAGAATGCAGATAAAAAAATCTAAAATATTAGTGTTTATTTTTTCATGCTATATTTTCAATAAAAATATTATAATTTCTACTAAATATTTTGATGTGGTTGTAATTGACGGAAAGTGAGAGATAAATGATTATCAACTAAGATACGCTTGGCAACGAGGGGAAGTTCTAGAATGTTTAGTTCCGTGTGCGATTTTTGGAAATTATTACTTTTGTGAATTTCGATATTTGGTGAAAGTAAGACTAGTTTGTTAGATAAATCAATTATTAGTGTTGCTTTCTGTCATCCCAAAATGCAGTATATTATAGTCATAGTAGATGATGGTTATGTTAGAAACTTGATCAATGTAATTAAAGAGTTTTCGAAGAAAACCTATGAATGTAATTTTTGTGATTGTTGAAGGTGATGGTGCTAAAGAAGGAGATGATAGTGTTAATCAGTTGAAAACATATCCAGCGGAAAAGAAAGCAACTTCTAATGTACCTTGATTTCATAGTGTTGCTGCTGAAAATGAAAATGTGGTGTAATCACTCATTCACTATGTGGATCCTCAAAATTATACGTATGTTGTTACATATGTTAATGATGTAGGTGCATGAGATAATACTGAACACCAACACCAAGTTCAGCTTAATGAGGTCGGTAAAGTTCATGAAATTGAAAACCAAGAAGAAGTTCCATTTTTTAAGGATGTCAATCTAGCTGGTTACGGGGATAAATTAGTTGTTCGTTTGGATATATTCGACCTATAAAGTAATTCCAATGGAGAAAAGTCAGATGGTGAACCAATACATACGTTTCATATATCATATTGTTTAGATTATGGGTTCCCTAAGGATATGCATGGCACTTTTGGGTTATAGACTTCGAATTAGACCAAGAATGAAACTGTTATCCTATTCTAGGGTCATGTGCGACCAAGTTTTCATAAGGTGTTGCTTTGGTAGCAACATTGTTATGCTTAGTTGGCATTATCAGGGAGTTAATTAGGTCCCTTTAAGGCAATGAGATGAGGTGGGTATCTTTAGGTACGGAGTATTGGGTGGATGATGTGATGTCGACAAGGTTGGTGTGATACTGACAGCATTCCATACATGGGATGAGGGACGGGGAGGACATTCCAGACTCATGTTGTGGGCTTGGAGGCAATCCAGACCTACGTTGAGGACCTTTTAGGGGTATTCCAGTCATAGGCTGTGGGCCTAGTGATCATGATTGTTTATTTCTTCTATTGGTAGTACCTTCGATGTTGGCGCATTGATCGAAGTCGGGGGACTCACCAATCAGATGGTTTGGATAAAGGAAGCAATACGGGTTGCAGGGAGTGTCAGTTAGGTATTAGAGAGTCTATGTAGGATGTATTGATTATGATTTCGGTTGCTCGCAAGCTGTTGCTAAGGTTTTGATTTTCAAGTCGGAATTGGTTATGAGGTCGCAAGTCGTAAAGTTCTTCATGATTGTCTCTAGTGGTTGTCTAGGTGAGGGTACACCTGAGTCTATAAGGGGGTTGGATGTAACGTATAAATTCTTGGTTTGATCATCTTTGCTTGGCGAAGCAATGGTTGGTAATGGCATAGCAGAGAGTCAAGGGTTATTATGGTTTTGGTAGATCATATGGTTTGTTATGGGTCAAGTTTACAGTCGGTATGTTTTGAGGATCATTTCTGCATGTTTCTGTTAGTGTCTCCAGCCAGGGACTAGGGGAAAATTCATAATTGGATGTTTATCAGTTGTAGGGAAGGGTCTTCAAGAAGAATATGAGTGGCCATTTTCGAGTGGGCTTGTAATGGGAACTCGCGTTTGGAATCGCGAGCGTATCCGTGCACGGTCTATAGTAAGAAAGATGTGGATCAAGAAATTTTTATGTCAAAGGCCTCAACTGGAGGGTTCAGGATTTAGCTTATGTGTCTGTGCTCTGGGATTGTTCACCTATGTAAAGGTCGCGCAAGTGATGATGGAAATTGTGGTTTTCAAGTAATATCTTTATGTCTCGGTTTAGAGGAAGATGCATGGCCTAATATCCGAAAAGACTTAATTAAAGAGATGAAGAAATATAAGCCGTATAATGTTGGCATGTTTGAACCCAAAATTAGTCTCATAATTCCAACGCTTTAAATTTTTCAGCAGTCATGCACCTATTGGATGATAATATCGGAAATATGTATTCTCATTGCTTCAAGATATAATGTAACCGTCACAGGTAGTAAGACATAGCTACCACTTCGATCTTTTCCATTGTTGTGGTATAAATGTGTTGCCATAGCAATTGGATATCAAAATAACAATCAGTACTTTAAAGCTATATTGGATAGAGGTTACCTAATGAATACTATTTCGCCACATTGAATGAGATAGGTAACTCTATATAAAGATCGACTAGACGCATATAAGTAGTTATTGACCACTAATCATAGTACTTAAGATGTTTTAGAAAATTTGAAGTTGTAATATGAATTTTATATACAAATATATGTATTTGATTGACAAAGTTATTATGTGGGACGTAACCTTTATTTTTTTATTTTTTATAAATTTATATGCTCTTATTTATTATTATTATTTTTAAAAAGACAATAAATTGAACAAGTTCAATAAGTAAAAGGTGTTAAATGAAACTTATTTTAAATTTTGAAGGATAAGAAGTGAAAAATCTCATTTATTTGAACAAATCTAATTGTTTAATAATAGAAAAAATGAATTTAATAAAGAAACTAGACGAGTAACCCGACTTTGAAGGGTATGTATTTGGACAACTCTAATCATTTTGGCAACTTCGTGCTTGTTATCGATAGAAATGATTACATAGTAATTTGGAGTGAATATAACTGTAACATAATAGTTTTTAAGATAATATAATAGTTTTTAAGATAATACCTAGAAAAAATGAAATAAATTTGACCTACTTTTTTTTTTTTTTTTTTTTTTTTTTAAAACGGCAAATCTAACCTACTCTTAAACTACACCTTAAATCCACTTATATCCACGACGGGACTTGAACCCTCAACCTCAAGGAGGGAGGGCAACACCGGGTACCGCTGGGCTAGAAGCCCTTTGGTAAATTTGACCTCCTCATTCACGAATAGAGACCCAAGTAATGAATGATGATTCTTTGTTTAAAATATCATTGGTTTGTTTAGAATAATCCAATTTCATCGTAACATACTAAGTTGTCATTTTTATAATTATTTTTGTTAATAAAAAATAATATAATATTGAGATACATATATATAAGAAAAAGCTGTATATCTCACCCTCTAGTTACACTTAGTAATTTGTAACTGAGGTTTATTATACGTAAATAATTGTAGTGTAGAAAAACAAAAAGGGGTAATTTGAAACTTTTATGTAAATGAAAGGCATGTAAACAAAAGTTTGAAAAAGAAGAAGTACGTATGCATATGATCTAGGAAATGACGTGCCTTTATTGCCTTTACAGTCCCAGAAGTTGCTGACAGAGATCCAAAAAAAGTTATTAAATTATTTGTAAAATAAAATAGTGCGAAGCTTCCTTTCCCACGGCGTTGACGACCTTGTTGTCTTCGTCCTCAGTGAACTCCTGGACAATATTCTATAAATACCCTCTCAGTACTTTGAATCTTCACACGTCTTCTTTAAATCCTCTTATTTTCCAATTTACTAAATCCAATACAGATACACTCGGCACAGTCAAATCATCATCCACTTCACAGAAATGGCAAAGGTACACATTTGTTTACTAATCCACTTCAATTCTGTTTTGTTTTTTTCGAATAAGTTAAACTCAATTTGTGTAATCGATTGGTTTTGCAGCAAAAGATTGTGGTGAAGGTCACAATGAACAACGAAAAGAAAATCCGTAAGGCTCTGAAAATCGCAGTTAGTCTCTCCGGTAAGATCATGTTTCCTCTTCCCAATTTTCACTTAATTCTCGTTTTCCAGAAAAATCGCTTAATTTCAATTTCATAACGTAAATGTTAACCTCAATTTGAATTGTGGGTTTTATACCTGATTATTGTTAACCTCAATTGGAATTGATTGAATTAGTCGACTAAATCATGATCTGAAAATTGATGAACAGGTGTGGAATCAGCATCTTTCGTGGGATCAGATAAAACCCAAATCGCTGTGACTGGGGAACATGTCGACTCAGTTGAACTGGCGACCTTGCTAAGGAAAGGTGTTGGATACACAGAGCTACTGAGTGTTGGTCCGGTGGAGGAGAAGAAACCAGCCGCCGCAAAGGAAACAAATCCCACGGTGGCGCCACTAGATTTTACAGTTAATCCATACCAATATTACTACGGCAGCTATGGGATGCCCTACTATGCATATTAGATTTAAATGTTATTTAGTGAAAAAGAGTGAAAGAAATTAGTTTTATATTGATGCATAACTAGCTTCATTTAACCTTTTTTTTTTTTTTTTTTTTTTGGGAGTTTTGCATTCCATGAAATAAGAGACCCTTGATGTACATATTATCTTTGTGATATATGGGAAAATTTTGCGATATACTTTATATACATTAGTTTATTAAGCATCTTATTAAAAAAAAATAAAGATAGTCTTGTAAATTATTTCCACATGTCGTCATTGAATACTAATTTGTTCCATATGTCGTCATTGAATTCTAATTCGTCATTACAAGTGATACACTTTTGTACAACTAGTCGTTTACTTTATTATGAATCATCATATTCATCATAATATGAATGAGCTGATGTACATACCAGTGATTTCTCTCTCCTCGGCTGGCAAATGTTATTTCCTTGTTGTCGGAAAAGGCTTGGCAAAGAAGATGCTAAGCTGGTGCTCTACTCCCACCATAACCACTCCCTCTTGCCATAGGTCTATGGAAATAAGAGCGACTCCTTCAGAACGTTATTAAGCGTCAAATTGGTGAGATGGTAAAAAGTTACACAAAGTATGTAATTTAGAAATATTTACAAATAGCTTAATTTCTTAATGATTTAGCCAAAATAGCCAAAATTAGCTTTATCGAAAAATAGCCAACGAAACCGTTGATGAGGCTAACATCCCACAGTTTCGTTAACTCAGATGTAGAATTGCCCATTTTGAAACACAAAATCGCATACGGCACATGGCCATCTGCGGTTTCCTCTCAAGTCCTCCACGATTTCCACTTTTTTGACATGCGGTTTCTTATTTGTTGCGTTCTCAATGAAAGCTTGTAAGTTTGACTACGATTTTTGTTCTTTTTTAATATGATTTTTGACATCTTTGACTATGGTTTTATATATTTTCACTACTTTATATATAGAATGTAGATAAAAAAAAATTATAAGTATTAGTGTTTATTTTTTCAAGTTATATTTTTCATTAAAAATATTATGATTTCTACTAAAAATCAGGGGCGGATTTATGGGGGTTC